TTAAGCCCTTAAGTGCTCTGCATCCTCCTGGTGAACGTTATAAGACGAAGTCCGTAGAGGTGGCCAATCTCTGGGAGGCCGGGTCTAGAGGGTGAGTAAAGGTGACCCACCCGGCAATAGTTTGCAGAGGTCTCTCAATTTGGATTTTGAGAGTCCTTTCTTATCCCATCTCAGGCCTCCTTCCAGTTTAAAAGAACATAACTTGGAGAGGGGGTATTCGAGTCTCCTTCTGGGGGAAAAGGCTTCGCGAAAAGCCTTATCGCCTGGAGGGGCCAACAGTCCAGTTATGGTTTGGAAGCCTGCCTGTGGTTATCACCATTTTACCTACGGTTATTAACGATAGAGGGGGTAGAGACTACACACGCAGGGGGAAGAGGAGAGGGGAAAGGGAAGGAAAGGAAGAGGAAAGTGAGATAACTTTCCTTTCAGTATTTTTTTGAATGGTTCCTATCTGTTATATAATACAATTTTTTGTTTCTAGAAAACCTCAAGAATGAAGCCTTAAAGAAAACGTCTGCCACGGGACACCCTTGGCCCCGAGAAGATTTCAGTTACGGACACCTTGGCCCGTCTGCCACGGGACACCTTGGCCCGAGAAAGGTTCAGTTACGGGACACCTTGGCCCGTCTGCCACGGGACACCTTGGCCCGAGAAAAGGTTCAGTTACGGGACACCTTGGCCCGTCTGCCACGGGACACCTTGGCCCGAGAAAGGTTCAGTTACGGGACACCTTGGCCCGAGAAAGTTTCAGGACATCTATTTTCTTTTCTCACTACCTCAGCGCTGTTTCACGAGACTAATCCTAGTGTGGGTCCCAATTTGTGAACCACCCCTTCTACCCTCCACGACAGCCTCCTGCCTATCCTTTGAGACTAGGTTCGGAATTCCCTACTGAACGCTTGCGTAGTGCAATGCCAGATCGGGGTCCGAGAAGAACCAAAGTTTGAAAGGAAAAACAAACGACCTTGCGTTCTTCACGTACCCGGGTCATCCCTAACAAAGGTCGCCAGGCAGGAGGGGGCGGCTTCGTTTGCGTGGTGAGGTAGAGAAAGGTAAGAAATATTTGAAAGGACGCCTCCGGACGACTCCGAGAGAGGGACGTCAGGGAAAATAGTAGAAAGGCCACGCTTTCCCGGATCAGTTCCAAGACGGAAAACGGGGGAGAAAAGGAGAGAGGAAGAGATTAAGGCGTTCCTGGACGACTCCGAGAGGTAACGCCGGAAAACCAGTAAAAGTACCACGATTTCCTTGGCCACTTCCGAAGGGGAAAATCGGGGGAGAGAAGGGAAAGTTTAGGGTAACGTCAGAAATGAAAGAAGAAAGTCTGGCTGTCGTGGAGATATTCCTTTCCAACCCCCCTCCCTCTGTATTTACTTCAAACCATACTCACGTTCGCAGATGTCCCCCGCAGATCCCGGGATCCTTTCGTTTAGCCGGCTTTACCTCGCCTTTGCTCCCTCTGGTCGGGCTTCTGGTGACGGTTGATTACCGCCCGCAAAGAGGAGGCAGGGAGAGGAAGAAGGATCCCCGGGCTAAGGTTGCCCAGTGGCGCCCGATCCCTTCTATCTCCCCTCTCACCTTTACAGGAGAACCAAGTGTCCCCATCTGGGTCGCCAACTGTTAACGGAAATTCAAGGGTCCTCTTGGGCAAATGAAGACACCGACCAGAGCAAGTCAGAGCAAAACAGCAGCCAGTAGGCTCGGTCTTTATTTAGAAAAACTGTCGCGACAGGACTCCCACTGCCCACAAGGTGAAGCAAAATGGAAGCCTCGAACAAAGGGAGACCCTAACTTTTATTAGTTGCTAATCCCCTAAGCTACACCCTCAGAATTACATCACATTTACATCACGATTATATTAAAAATAGGAGGGGTTGGGGAGGGGCCGCGCAGGTAACCCGAGTGTCCTGACACCTGGCCGGAGCCCCCTTCCCCCTCCCCGCATGAGTCATACACGAAAACAAAGGAAGAGGGCAAAGTTTCCTGCCCCCTGAGGAGAATCCGATCGCAGTCTTTTGTGTATGTCTGCGCGGAATACACCAAGATATGCAGTTCATTGTGTCTTTGATAGCCTCCTGTCTGAGCCGATCACTGATGGCTATCAAGGTGGTCACGTCTAGTAGGAAGGAACACAGAGTACGTGACTGCTCGGTTAAGGGATTATGGCCGCTTGATTTCGGACCACCCCCCTTTGATAGTCTTTGTAATATCCAGCAGAATAAAAGTGGTCCGGTGAAAATCCGAAGTACGGCTGATTTTTAGTGAATTTATGAAGAATATTGTCTTTGAAGTTCAAAGCACTTTCGCTTTCAGGAAGCGGCTTGCTACATTTTGATTAAATCAGTCACGGTCAATTGAACTCGGAAACCTTGTATTGAGAGCTGTCAAAGGTAAGGGGGAGAGCGGCAGTAGCCTGCAAGTACCTGCGTGGCCGCCGCAAGGGGCGCTGTTCGGTAATGTTGATTGGCTGAGGCGGGCGCCGATTGACAGCAGAGTTCGGTCGGTCCGGTCTACTCTCAATAAAAATAGGGCGATGCGGAGCGCCATAGCGGGAAGCTGTCAAGCCAGCGCTTCCTTATTTACGGAAGGCTTTAAGGGATGTCCCTCTAAAAGGGACATCTCCAGGGTCAGGAAAGGGGAATGTATGCGTGTGTGAGTGTGGTGCTTGTGTAACACGTGTCAGTGAGTTGGGGGGGGGGGTTTTCCGGCGACAATATCAATATAAACTCTTTATATAATCTATACGGAACATTGAACAATATGAAAAACCAAATAAACAGAATCTCATAAATCTCTGAAAGTCACAAAATGTGCACTCTTGATGGATTCTCTTGAAAACATAGAACCAAATCAACATAAGTCTTATAAGTCTCTGAACGTCTTTGTAGACTATGCAAGTCTCTGAAAGAAGCAATGGGTCAGATTCTCATCTGATGAAAACAAGCCATAAAGCTTTGTTTTATGACGTCCAACGCTGCCAAAGTGGTCCGCAAACAGACGTAGTGCCCACTGTTTCGTAGAATTCTTCTTCAGCACAGCAGGATAAAGAAATGCTTCATAAACCCATCTATATGGTGAATGGAATTGTGTAACAATATCTATGGAGCAGTTATGTTACATGGGCACTTCCGAGCAGGGCTGGGGGAGAACTCTGCCTGAAGCCCTGCAGAGCCTTTGCTAGCCAAAACTAATTCCTACATCCCTAAGGAACTAGCAACCGACTTGAGTCTTGTCACATTCAACCCACTTTACTTCAAAAATCCTCGAGAGTTGGCATCCATTTCGAGAGACAATAGAGTGCGCCTCCAGGGTTGAAGTTAAGCCACTGGAGAATCACAGCGCCTGCTGTGGCTGCAGAGACTGGCTGCAGAGACTGGCAACTCATAACTGCTGCCTCCTGTGTTGCTTTTGATGCATTCACAGCACTGATCTCTCGGGGGCGCACTACTGGGCAGTTTGTGTGGAGGTCCTGGGCTGCCCAGACAACAAGACCCCCCCTCTCAGCCTTGCTGATGTGGTCCAAAGGAAAGCAGAGCAATACATTTAGCACCAGCTTGGCTGCAGGAGGGGGGTTTACAAAGCACCATCCAACTGTCTTAGGGACTCCGCTCTGGATTTGTGTGGGGTTTAATCCTTAGCTGTTTTGCCTCCCGAAGATGTCCCACAAGGCAGCGGGTAAATCCTACAGAAATATCGGACTTATTCTATGCAGACTTAAGCACCACCTAAACCTATTCAGTTCAAACCCCTCTTCCTTCCTTGACTTCTAATAGCAAGGACTTGATCCTTACTATGAAGGAGAGCAAAGTGTTGGGTGGTTGCTGGATGCTGGGGGGACAGGTGGTAACCCCCGCCCTGTTCCCTCTAAGCCTCTAGCTCAGCGGTAAAGCCTCTGCCTTGCATGCAGAAGGTCCCAGGTTCAACCCTGGTATCTCTGGACAGGGTTAGGAAAAAGAAACTCTGAAACTGATCCCCTAGAGCATGGGTAGGCAAACTAAGGCCCGGCGGCCAGATCCGGCCCAGTCGCCTTCTAAATCCGGCCCACGGATGGTCTGGGAATCAGTGTGTTTTTACATGAGTAGAATGTGTCCTTTTATTTAAAATGCATCTCTGGGTTATTTGTGGGGCATAGGAATTAATTCATTTCCCTCCCCTCCAAAATATAGTCCGGCCCCCCACAAGGTCTGAGGGCAGTAGACCGGCCCCCTGCTGAAAAAGTTTGCTGAACCCTGCCCTAGAGAGCTGCTGCAAGTCACGAGTAGACATCACTGAGTTTAGAGAGACCAATGGACTGACTCAGGCCGCTCCCGGTGCCAGTGTCAAAGTAAGGTTAAAATGCCAAGCGGATCAGTTTCAATGTGTGCAGATCAGGTTGATGTGTGTGTGCTTACTTTTATCTTATCGTGTCCTTTGCCTCAGGCAGCAAAACTTCCTGAGAGGTGAAAGGGAGGCATCTAGGGATGGGAGCTGGAAGTTAACGGATTCCTGAGTATCTCTAAGCCCCACCCAACCGGGGGAAAGCCAAAACTGATTTGAGATTCCTGCATTGGACTAGATGACCCTGGGGAGCGCCTCCAACTCTACAGCCCTGTGATTTTCCATGATTGCATTCAATGGGGTTTGCAAGGTCGCTGTGCTTAAGGCTGCACCTCCCCCCCGCCCACGCTGCCCTTTTATACGCCCCAGGCCCACATTTCGTACCTACTGAAACCCCGGAGCGATTGCCAAATTGGGGGGGGGGGGTTAAAGGGCGGCGGCGGATCATTGGGGCTGGAGCAGCCCTGGGGGTGGCGGCAGGGGTAGGTGTCTTTCTGCCGTTGGTCGACAAGAAGAGGGGGTGCCCAGAGGATCCCAGAGCCCGCCCTGCCTTGCTGTAACTTGGGGGGGGGCGGAGGAAGGGGGGGAAACTGTGGGAAGAATGGAACTTTGTGTCAACGTGGCGCCGGCCGGCCAGTCCCGGAGCCCCTCGGCCACGCCCCTGGGCCGACGGCGGCCTCCGATTGGGCTCTGCGGGGATGAGGGGCGTCGCCCTGGCGGGCAGGAGGGCGGGGCGGGGAGACACCAGCCGGGCTGAAGATGAGACGGGGCGGCACTTGCAGAGGGAGCATCCATCGCGCGGGCTGCCGCTACTGGTGAGCTGGGCGAGGGGGAGAGGCGCGCTTGCAAGAGGTTTGCATGCTGGGGCTGGGGGGTGCGGGGTTGCATGCAAGGAGGGCTCAGAGGCGCGGAGGAGAGGTGGGCGCCTCGACTTAGGAGAGGGGAAGGGGCCTGCTGGAGACCCTGAGGAAGGGGGGGATCTTTAATAGGGAGCGAAAAACGCGTGGGAGGGAGGGCTCTTGTTGGAGACACGCGGGCATTATAATGCACGGATTGTGCATTTTCCTTTTTTGCAGCGTGCAATGCCCGGCGGATTCAATTAGTCGGGGCATCCTGATAGGTGCTGAGCTTGCAGACTACCGCGATGCCGCGGTGAACGGAAGGAATTGTGATTTCCATTTCCCCCATCCCCCGCCTGCCCCACAACTAGCCCCTTGTGTCCCTCGGAAAAGAGCAGCGTGGCTGCGCTGCGCCTTGGGTTGTTGCGGCTCTTGGGTCAGAATTGGTGCTTGAGGTTGGGCAAAAGTAGAGGGCACTGCTAAGGCACTCTTTGGGGGCGGCGTAGGGGGGCTGTATTGTCCCAGAAGTTTGTTTCAGACCCGCATCCTTTATGCCACGGACATCTCACGTGGTGCCTTCGGGGAGTTTGTTGGTCTCGCAACTCCCAACAGTGAGCATGGCCTATAGTCAGGGATGACCACGTTGGCTACCCCTGCCGTAGAGCCCGCTTCTCCATCCGGCCCGTTTCCTGATGTGAGATGCCAATCCCCCCCCCCTTTTGTCCTGGGATTAAACATGCTCCCCTTCCTTTCTTCAGTGTGGAGCGTAGTTACCCGTGTCCCCTTATTCTGAGACACTGTCTTTGTTTAAAGTTGGGGCTTCCAAAGTCTTTGCAGTGTTGGACGAGAAAGTCGCTTGTGTTTTCCTTTTCTCTATCTTTGGCATGTTAGCTCTGCTTTCCTTCTGAGGCAAGTTGCTTTGTATATCTGGAAGGGCTCGGTTTTAGTTTTGCACATTTCACAGCGGCGCGGTAGTCTGCAAGTGTGGGTTAGGGAAGAGCAGTAGTTGGGCGATGGAGGAGTGGAGTGGTGTACAGCTTGTTTCGAGCCCCAAAGTTGCATTTGCTAGTGGTTTAAATAATTTGGCATGGGATGTGTCTTCTCTGTACCGCAGCCCAGGAAGTAATGTGTTGTTCTGATTCTGCTGTCACTTTCATCCTCAATAAGCTTTGTTCCCAGCAAAGTGGGGACAGCTTTAATTCAGATGCCTCCAGGAATTGAACATTCTGTATTTTGGGCAGCACAGTTGGGAACTGGCCTAGTTCCCCTATGCTGCTGGGATTACTGAATTTATTCTTCTCCTTTTTTTAGTTTGCCCTCGAAATAGCAGGCGCAGTCCTTGTTTCAGAACTTCATCTCTCACTCCAGGTCCTTAGAGCTCAAGAGATCCAGTGGTGTTCTGGGTTAAAATGTATGTAGGAGAACAGATTACAAGCTGGGACTCCTGGGTTCTCTTTGTGGGTCAAAACTCCCAACGCTCTCCAAAAGAGAAACTTGCGTGCATGGCTGGGTGAAACGGAATCAAAGAAGGTGGAAACTCCTTGTTTCTTTCGTGTGGAAGAGTGGGAACAATTGATGAGCTTGAGGGCATCTTATCTATGGTGTTCGTGAAACAATGGTTAGAATCAAAATTTTAAAATAGTCCAGTAGCACCTTAGAGACCAACTAAGTTTGTTCTAAGTATAGAAACTTTCGTGTGCATGCACACTTCTTCAGCTGAAGAAGTGCTTATACCTAGAACAAACTTAGTTGGTCTCTAAGGTGCTACTGGACTATTTTTTAATTTTTTATTTCGACTGCTCCAGACCAACACGGCTACCTGCCTGAATCTAGTGGTTAGAGTGTTGGACTGAGACTGGGGAGAACCAAGTTCAAAACTCAACATTGGATGAGCTTATGCCAATCATTCTTATTCAGCCCATCCTACCTCACTGGGCATTGTGGTGATGAAACCAGGGTGCTTGTTCTGGTAAAGAACCATGCATGTGGTACTGAGCTCTTTGGGAAAATATTGAGAAGTCTGTGATGTTTGCTGCCCCCATGTAGACTCTTCCAGTAGAGATTCCATAGACATCCTCACATTTGACTTTCAGCCACCTCTTGAAGACTCCCCCCTCCCCACAAACAGACTTACGCAGTTGTTTAAAATCTTCTCAAGTAGCCAGTCATTTTGCTAATTGTTTTGTCCTGCTTTTGATGCTTTTGTTTTGTTTTTAATTATGTTGCTGCGTTTCTGAGAGGGCAATATATAAATGCTTATATAAATAATAGGAAGAAACGTAATAAATAAATAAATACTTGTTTAAAAGGAGTGTAGTGGGATGAAGCATGTAGCAAGTATTGAGAATCATAGAATTGGAGAGCTGGAAGAAACCCTGAGGATCATCTTAGTTCAACCTCCTGCAGGAATATGCAGCTGTCCCATGTGGGGATCGAACCTGCAACCTTGGCGTTATTAGCACCACGTTCCAAAGCAACTGAACTAAGTCAGATTATTTTGAAATGTAGGCAATGGGACTTCCTGGCATGCGAGGAAGTGGAATAGCATTCTTTCTCCACCGTCAGTTATACTGCACTTTACGGAGTATAAGAGGACAGGTCCCTGCCCACAGGAGCTTACAAGCTAAAATTGACACAGGGCAGATGACGGAGAAAGGGGTAAACAGGGAAGCAATATGTAGGCTGCTTCAGTTGCACATGCTTAGACTTAGTTATGGGCTGAGTTGTAGCAGGGCATGGGAACCAGGGGTGTGCGCCAAAGGCTTTGTGGTGGGAGTGGATTTTGAGAGGGCGTTTGAATGAAATAAGAGAGGTGGCTCCAGGACAGGTGTACTCAAAGGCAGTTCAAAGTATCTGGGGCAGCGAAGGAGGAGGGACAGAGCCTTTTGAGGGAGCAGAAGACCTTTGGGTGTTGGAGGGGAGTGAAGCTAAGGAGCAAAGATATCTCAGGCAGGATTGTATCAGGGTGTAAATGGCAAAGTAGTGGGGAGACTCTGGGAACAAGGATTCAAGTATTGCGGAACAGATTTTTGTGTGTGTGTGTAAATACGAGGATAAGCAGGGAGGCTGACTTTTTTTTTTAGGTTGTATTTGAATATTTCCAGGCTGCACTTTCATATGAAAATATTGCTGAATAGCTCTGTTTGTTAGAGTGTGGTGCTCCTGCACTGCCGGGGAGTGGGGGGTTGGACTAGGAAGATCCTCAGGGTCCTTTTCCAACTTTGATTCTATGAAATAACACAAGGCAGTATACCAGCCAAAAAATACAGTACAGTATTGCAGTGAAAATAAAGAAACACATCAGTAAAAGCTGGATGTGAAAGAAGCTCAGATTTGAAAGTCCAGAGTAGCACAGTTTTTAGAAGGCACCTGAAAATGAGCAGAGGCCCTCCTGCCAAACTTCTATTGGCAAGGAGTTCCACAGGACAGGGCTTGCTAGACTAAAGGCTTGGCGCCTGGTAAAGGCTAGTGAAACCTGGGGGGGGGGCACATAGGATCCCAAAAGCCAACAGATGGCGGCTAATATACCCTTGTCACCTTCCTGTCTTGGAAGCGGTGTGGAATGGAGACCCATTTGGAGCAAAGCTGGCTGGCTCATGATTTATATATGCACCGTGTGTGTTTTCTTTCCTTACTGACCTTTCTTCCTTGTTCCCAAGTTGTGTACAATGGCTTGGCAGAAGATGCTGTTTTCCTCCTGCCTGTTGACTGTGTGTCTCACGTGGGTCTTGGCTAAGCCTCCCCCCGACAAAAAGGACCGCGTCCACCATAACCAAGACTTGAGCGACCACCCTCACGATGACAACCAAGATTTCCAGTATGATCACGAAGCCTTTCTGGGCAAGGAAGACGCCAAAACGTTTGACCAGTTGACTCCTGAAGAGAGCAAGCAGCGGCTTGGGTAATTGGAACTCTGCTGTTGGGTGAAGAATTTTGCATCTTGAGGAGCCGAGGGAGGAGAAGCAAGCTTCTAGAGATGTGTGTGGTTGATGGCATCTCATGGGTTAAGTGGGGGGGGGACACACGTGAGTAGCATTCCCCATGTTCTATGGGTAAGGCTTTAGTGCCTTGCATAGTACATTGCCCATCTTCACAAGCTAGTGAAACTAGAATAAATTTTGCGCAGTAAGCAACCTTAACTGGGATGCGGGTGGCGCTGTGGGTTAAACCACAGAGCCTAGGACTTGCCAATCAGAAGGTTGGCGGTTTGAATCCCCGTGACGGGGTGAGCTCCCGTTGCTCGGTCCCAGCTCCTGCCAACCTAGCAGTTCGAAAGCATGTCAAAGTGCACGTAGATAAATAGGTACCACTCCAGTGGGAAGGTAAACGGCGTTTCCGTGTGCTGCTCTGGTTTGCCAGAAGCGGCTTAGTCATGCTGGCCACATGACCCAGAAGCTGTCTGCGGACAAACGCCGGCTCCCTCGGCCAATAAAGCGAGATGAGCGCCGCAACCCCAGAGTTTGGTCACGAAATGGACCTAATGGTCAGGGGTCCCTTTACCTTTAAGCAACCTTAACTAGCATTGATTTAGGTCAGCTTTCCACAACCTGGTACTCCAACTCCCATCAGCCCCAGCCAAAGGTCAGGAATGATGGGAGTTATAGTCCAAAACATATCGGTTGGGGAAGGCTGATTTAGACAGGCTACATAATCCAAGTGTTCTTGATACAGAATGTGGGTCATCCCAATGTCATTCACCAGGCAGTTTTGGAGCACCTGAGTATTGCCAACTTGCCTGCCACTATGGCTTCCAGCGCATTGTTGATATGGCGATTAACCTTTGACCCTTTCCCAGATGTTGGAAGCTCCAGCACGGCCCGTGGTCAAGGGCTGAGGGGAGTTACAGTCCAGCAACATCTCAAAGGCCGCAGGTTCCCCACTCCTGTTTAATAGCATAACACAAACACCCTATTACGTTTAGACAATACATTATGCAAAAACGCAGCAATTTGACAAGTGCGCAGTGCCTTAAATTTCATTGCGTTGACCAGAGACAGCACTTGTTTTCAACGTGTTTACTCTTTTTTATTATTGGCCAAACACACATTGAAAGAGTGCTGCAGAAGCCCTGTCACACATTCCTCAAATGTGTAAATGGGCATAAAGTGTTCAGGGGTGGGAACACATGGTCCTACCTGCTCTGTGTTTAAGAGGGAAGGTCTAAATGGGTATCTAAGCGTCTTCTGCTCAACATGCTTAGAAGCCCCTTTAGACCATGGGGTAGGCAAACTAAGGCCCGGGTGGCTGGATCCGGCTCAATCACCTTCTAAATCCAGCCTGCGGACGGTCCGGGAAATCAGCGTGTTTTTACATGAGTAGAATGTGTGCTTTTATTTAAAACGCATCACTGGGTTATATGTGGGGTATAGGAATTGGTTCTCTTTTTTTCTTTTTTCAAAATACAGTGGTACCTCGGGATGGCATACGCTTCAAGGTTACAGACTCCGCTAACCCAGAAATAGTGTTTCAGGTTAAGAAACTTTGCTTCAGGATAAGAAAGAAAGCATGCTCCGGCGGCACGGCGGCAGCAGGAGGCCCCATTATGATAAAGTAGTACCTCAGGTTAAGAACAGTTTCAGGTTAAGAATGGATCTCTGGAACGAATTAAGTACTTAACCCGAGGTACCACTGTATAGTCTGGCCCTCCACAAGGTCTGAGGGACAGTGGGCCGGCGCCCTGCTTGAAAAGTTTGCTGATCCTGCTTTAGACCTTCCTGATCAGTCAGGAAAGTTTGGGTGTGAGCAGTCTGTGTCCCTGATGTCCAGGGTGGGGTAGGGTGGTGCGCACCTGCTTGTCCTGCCCCCCCCCCAATTTCATGCCCACATGCGTTCATCTGGATGCACAAAGAGGGATTTTGTGTTCCCACTAAGCCAGTCTTTGGTGTACTTCCAGAGAGGCCCAAAACTTAATTTTAGAGATGAGACCTCCCAACCGTTTCAAACTAGTTTCCTTAAGGCATCAGGTTTTCTGCCCGGCGGAGCAGAAAACTGACTGGGCAAGTGAGGCATTCTGCCTGGAACGGGGAAGAGCCAGTGTGGCATAGTGAAGAGAGCTGTAGCTTTCAAACGACCTGCCTCAAGCCAGGCCTTTCCTGTGCTAAAGCACTCCCAACATGTCTGCCACAGGAACTGCTGTGAATTCTAGAAGGCCACATATTTGATTCGTACAGGGACCTGGGCTGACTTTTTGAGCCTCATCACTTGCCCTGTGTGAATTAAGAGGATGTTCTGTGAAACACCTCCATGCACATGTGTGTGTGCGCAAGGTAAGGTTGGTAACCGTGGATACCCTAGTTTCCAAGGAAGCATGTTCACCATTACTGGCTTTTAAATTGAGGA